TTCCTCTCTCTGAAATCAAAAAAAATACAAAAAAAAAAAAAAAAAAAAAAGATTTCTGTCTTGTGTACAAAGCCTTCTCTCTGACATTAACCCAAAGGACAAGATTGAACTTTTTCCTGGTTACTAAGTCTTCTGGTCTTAGGCACTCTAGCTCTGAAATCTTGAAATCTATCCTTTGTTTTTATCACTGAATTTTCTTTGTTCCCTAGGAGACTTGAATGAAAATTCTTTGGAGAATCTTCAAGAGAAAGAACTTAGGGATCTATTACATGAAGAGCTTTTCTGCTGGCTAACTTGGGAAGAGATGGCCAGTACCGTAACTGGGAGTCAGGATTACATTGCCAATCTTCAAGGAGAAGTGTACAGGGGCCCTCAACTAGATCTTTCCCCTGGTCAAAAGTGGGGAGAAGCACCTTCTCACATTTCCAGAAACAAGAGCAGTGGTGTGACACTTCAAAGTGATGATTTCAAAAACATGGAAAGTGAAGAATATTTGTCTTTGAAAGTTCCGAGCCAAATTGCCACACAGGTCTCCTCAGGGATATTTTGTAAGAATGAGCCCCAGGATCCTCAGGAAAGCAAAAGTCTGTTTGTAACTGGAGAAAGCACTGAGAGAAAAGTGTTAGGAGGGAAAAGTCCTCCCATAGACCACTGTTCAGAGACCCTTCATATTAAACTTGTGTCTGATGTAATAGAACTGGTCTCACCATTGTTCAGTGGTGAAGCAATTTGCCAGAATAGCCAACTGAAAGAATCCTTGGATCCCTTTGACTGTAACCGTAACAACATTTATGGTTGGAAATCACGGGTGATCAGTCATCAGAGAGCTCATACAGAAGAGCATCCCTGTAACCATTATGATTGTGGCAAAATACCTAATACCAGCTCAAACAGTCATCCACGTGAGAAAATACACACTGCAGAGAAACAATACCGATGCAGTTGGTGTAGTAAGGACTTCAGTGAGAGCTCAGAGCTACTACTTCATCAGAGAGACCACAAAGAAGAAAAGCCCTACAAATGTGAGCAGTGTGGGAAGGGCTTCGCGAGGAGCTCGAGTCTCCTCATCCATCAAGCTATCCACACTGATGAGAAACCTTATAAGTGTGACAAGTGTGGGAAGGGCTTCACAAGGAGTTCAAGTCTGCTCATTCATCACGCAGTCCATACAGGAGAGAAACCTTATAAATGTGACAAGTGTGGGAAGGGCTTTAGTCAGAGCTCCAAACTGCACATCCACCAGAGAGTGCACACTGGCGAGAAGCCCTATGAGTGTGGAGAGTGTGGAATGAGCTTCAGTCAGCGCTCTAACCTGCACATCCACCAGCGAGTCCACACAGGAGAGAGGCCCTACAAATGTGGAGAGTGTGGGAAGGGCTTCAGTCAGAGTTCGAACCTTCACATTCACAGGTGCATACACACGGGGGAGAAGCCTTACCAGTGCTATGAGTGTGGGAAAGGCTTCAGCCAGAGCTCAGATCTCCGCATTCATCACAGAGTTCACACTGGGGAGAAGCCCTATCACTGCGGCAAGTGTGGGAAGGGATTTAGCCAGAGCTCCAAACTCCTCATCCACCAGAGAGTACATACAGGAGAAAAGCCCTATGAATGCAGCAAGTGTGGGAAGGGCTTCAGCCAGAGCTCCAACCTCCACATCCACCAGCGGGTTCACAGGAAAGATCCCTGTTAACAAGCTCTTTAATTATATGCTTGTACTCTGTAAATGCTTAAATATTTTTAACATCATTCTTACCTTTATATTCGGTGAAGAAAGATAATGAGTTATTAAAATATGTTCCTTCACTGAAAATCATTCATTTAAAGTGTTTAAGTGCCAAGAACTTTGTTATGCTATACAATGAATTACTTGTTCTAGTTCCTTAGATGGGTAGAGTGAAAATATCTGTACACTGTAGTTCAGCCAGTGTTACTAGAACTATATACCCTACCCAACATTTATAACTGCAAGGACATTACATTTATCCAAGCACAACATGTTTCCCTTTGTTCTCACAATCTCTGAGAAATGGGAACACTGATTTCTCTTCAAATCATGTGCCTTGTATTTGTCATATTTCTTTCCAGCCTGAGTAGCCCTGAATAAACTATAATTGTATAATATATTGGTTTTAAGCCAAGGGGTGTTTGGCTTAATCATGATGGACATATAATGGGCATGGAAATTTGTTGTATTTATTGCAAAAATGTACAACAGTCTATGGCCACACAACAAGAAGGTGGAGAAGAGCTCCTTGTGTAGTACAACCCATACACCATTTTAGGGGATGTTGAAACCCCCCTTCCCACAAAGCAGCAGCTCAGGAGCATGAATACTGTAGTTCTTTTCCATCAATGTGGCTAGCCTATTGAGGTTCTTCCAGATCTCACCACTTCATATGACTCACCCAAATTAAAGCTAAGTAGGTTACATACCATCTTGAAACATTTCAAATGAAATTGAAACATATTTAAGTAAATTCAGTTCTTCTCTCAACACTTTCCTCTCATTTCCTTCATTTTCTTGATCACCTATGTTGTATACTAAGCAAAACAAATGAGTCAGGAGAGAAAGTTTCTGATATTTGTCCCTTCCAGCTTACCTTGTTTTAACATTTGATTTACCTCAAAAAAAAGTTGTTTTTTGCAGCTTCTCTAGCCTCTTTAGACCTCACTATAGACATATTTATAAAATTATTTTTATATTTGGCTAAAAGTACTTCATATAAAAATAGCTATATAAAAATGTTTAAACCATATTTGGAGAACACCTTTGGGAAGAAAAGGCCTAAAATATTCATTATATCATGTATAATTAACTTGGGATGTGGGTGGGGTTGGCTGTGGAGCTAGGACACCTGAAAAAGCTAGGCATTCATCCTCTAGGAGTTAATAGAGGAAGCTCATGCAACAGTTCAGAGTGGAGAAGGGATTGTAAATACGTAACTAAATCAGAAGTTACTACTACAACGAGCTCTTAAATCAGCCCTGAATTTCTAAATGGTGGTTAATGACTCCTCAAGCAGTGCTCCAGAGGCTGCCCAGTGTTCCATGCCTTTTTCTCCAATGACTAGTATCCATATGTGAAAAATGTCAGGGATAATATGGGTGCTTTACTTATTAGCCTGAGAAGGTGAGATTGTAACTGTTATATCTAGTCAAAGGTAACCTGACACAGTTAACTGGACAGAGAACAGGGAAGTTATACATTAATTTAAGGGAAGCATACCTAATCTCTAATAAGGAATGAAGGAGGATGACAGATTAAGACATTTACCTTACTTCAAGAGGTAGTCCAGAATACCTGACCAGCCTAGAGCAGTCCAGATGGAATGATTAAAGTTATGACTGAGCTTTTATACCCAAGGTCTCAAGTGGGTATAAAATAGCCTATTTTTCCAGATTTCCTTTTATACATACCTGAAGTTATCAATGTCTTTAACTATGTTTAGTTTTTACTGTTCTCTTTTAAGCATTACCTTCCTTAATACAACTGAAATGTGATCCATGCTTGGGGAACATTTCACTGATTATGGGAAGGAAGTCTGGGGAAACCAATTATATATTTTTTTTAATTTTTATTTTTTAAATATATCTATTGATTTCAGAGAGGAGAAGAGAGAGAGAAACATCGGNTCCAGATTTCCTTTTATACATACCTGAAGTTATCAATGTCTTTAACTATGTTTAGTTTTTACTGTTCTCTTTTAAGCATTACCTTCCTTAATACAACTGAAATGTGATCCATGCTTGGGGAACATTTCACTGATTATGGGAAGGAAGTCTGGGGAAACCAATTATATATTTTTTTTAATTTTTATTTTTTAAATATATCTATTGATTTCAGAGAGGGGAAGAGAGAGAGAAACATCGGTGATGAGAGAGTCATTGATCGGCTGCCTCCTGCATGCCCCTGACTGGGGATCGAGCCCGCAACCCAGGCATGTGCCCTGACCAGGAATCGAACCCCGATCACCTGGATCCTAGGTCAACGCTCAACCGCTGAGCCACACCCAGCTGAGCAAAACCAATATATTTTAAAAAGAGGGACTCATGCATGAAAATGCAGAAAACAACAGGATATGTCACATTTCGTCAGATCTTAAGATGCCATGGATTGTGAGAAAGGAAAAAAAAACACTTCTGGTGGATTTTTTATTAGAATTGCTGAAAATTCATTCCTTTTCAGAGTTCAAGGGTTACCCTAGGCTTGATGCTTTACCAGTACTTGTTGATCTTCAATAGGACCTTTGGGTATCTTGTTATCAGAGAAATGAGTGTATAATCTTTCTCTGTTGCTAGTGGGAGTGGGGTTCTTGGGCTGCCGCTGGAATAAGCATTTCCGGAGGCCCCCACGGGAGGATATGTGGTAGAAGCTTTATTTGCGTGGAGTTACATTCCTGGGGTTCCCAAATCCCATTTCCCTAATCCAGCCCTGGAAGAGGTGCAGCTGGGGATTCAGCAGAGCTAGAGGCAAAGCCAGAGTCCAAAGTTCCCATTCCATGGTGCAGCTGCGTCCGATTTAGCATTAAGCTAGTTGTAATCCATTAGTCCACTGCATGTGGGATCCACATGTGCCGTGTGGGCAAATGCACAAGCGTGAGAGTCCCGCAGTCAGGAATGTAAGAGCATGAACCAAGAGGCAAGAGAGCAAACTCCGTTGTTTAGGAGCTTAAGTATCACATATGCCCAGTATGCAGTGGCCACACCTACTCTGGCCTATGATTTGTTTCCAGGTGTGACTGACAGGAAAGTACCTTCCCCGTGTCACCCAGACCTTATTGGGCATGCGCCTATTCTGTCCAGTCCCTTCCCCGAGGATACGCAGGGAACAGACCTGGAGAATGTTAAACCAGCTTCCTGGCAAAGCTGCACAAATGGCATGCCCATAACGTGGCCTTCCCTTTGCTCCTTTCCAGTCATTCCTAACTAGTTAATTACAACAGTATCAGTATATTCGATTGATAATTCACTAATTTAGCAAAGATCTAGATTACAGATTATTTGTTGAGTACTTGAAACAAGCTCTTACAATTCTTAGGTGACCAATGAGGCAGTAAAGTGTACTCAGTGTCTGGCAGCAGCCAAGATCCCTTGAAAGTCCCACAACATTACAGTCTCCTGGCACCCACACCCCACTCCATGTCCCAATCTGTTACCATAATATACTCAAAGATGAGAGAAGAGAATACCTTTAAAAATATATTTTATGAAAAAGAATAATTAGCCATCATGGATATTAAAAATGTCAAAATCTGGAAAAAAGTGTTCACAATATTAAGAAAGTAGCAGAACAGAGGGAAATTGGTAGTGAGGTGGTTAGCTGGGAGAACCAAAGACCTCAAGTGCAGTGCAAATAAAAGAGTAGGTGTGATCTTTAGTTTCAAGAGTCTGGGCTATAATTTCTAACAGCCAACTACTGAATGTACTGGAAGGAGAAAAAGAATAAATTTGGGGTAATACTCTTAGAATAGCAATACTCCAAACGNTACTGGAAGGAGAAAAAGAATAAATTTGGGGTAATACTCTTAGAATAGCAGTACTCCAAACTCNGCCAACTACTGAATGTACTGGAAGGAGAAAAAGAATAAATTTGGGGTAATACTCTTAGAATAGCAATACTCCAAACGTGAGAAAACTCTGAGTCCATAGATTGTATGTATTGCTGTATGACTAAGGAGGGTATATAGAACTCAGATGACTTGAACATACTGGGAATATAAACAGTCAAGTTAAGGCAAGGGTGCCTTATGATGTCTCATAAAATTTGATAATTTGATTATAAGGAACTCCTTTGTAATATTCTTGGTTATAATTCTTAATTATAATAAAAACTCTTACAATTAACCAATAACACTGGTTTACTTGTTTGCGGTAGGAGGTATATTTACAGAGTATGGAAGCTGAATTTCACCTGATGTTGATACCTTTTCATATCTAACCCACTGCCTATGGCTTTAATTATGATCAACAGAACCAATAAAATAATGGCTTTTAATGCCTTGTGGTTGTAAGCAACCAACTGCTTCATCCTTATAACAAATGTAGATTAAAATTGGAGGAAAAAATAGCTGACCAAGAAGGGTTCTGGGACCCAAGATATGACATGACATTGAGTTCCCTGGGTTTTCTTTTTGCCTCTTCTGTTCCAGACTGGGTGTCAGAGAAGCCAGCAATCAATGTGTCAATAAGCACAGACTTTTGAAAGCCTAAGAAAAGCATGTTCTTTCTAGCCAAAGGGGCATATTTGCAAGACAGAAAACACTTAGCCAGTAACCACGCAGTTGCAGCCAAACTCCACACACATAAAGAAAGGGTGATACACCCCCACCTGTATCAACAAAGACCTAACAGGAATCCTGCACTTCCCCCCTTGCGAGGCTCCAACGCAGCACATCTCACCTCTCAGGCAAGGCCCTGCCCTTGAAGGCCCAGCAGGGAACCTGAACGGCCAGCCCAGTCCACCAGAATGAGGCCCCCCTCCCTCTCCCCATCGCCAGACTAGCAACAGAAACTGAGTGGAGAATCCGAACTTCCACTCCACCTGGCAGAAATGAGGTGGCATCTCGCTTCCCTTGCCAGTATGGTGTCAGAGAAGACCTGTAAAACAGGAGATTTAAGTAAAAGCCAGTCTCATGAAAATGTTCAAAATATCTAGAATCCAATTTTTTAAAAAACACTTGTCTTATCAAGAACCAGGAAAATACCTACTTGAAAGAGAAAATTAAAGACATTGAAAGGGAACAGGTCACCCCAGTCACCCCAAAAATGTGCCACTTTGGCATGTGGATTATTTTGAACAGAAAGCAATCGAGACCTAGCAGACTCGGAAAAACTTTTACTTCCTCATCTGCCTAAAATAATTTATTTAGATAGGAGGCCTGGCCCAGAAAGAGCTATTACCAGAGATCACTTTTTTATCTGAAAGACTTACCCACATGGCAGGGCAAACAGCTCACCACCAAACATCTGCTCTTGTCTTCCTGTGAACTGCCCTCCTCCCCTCTGAAGCACCAGGTCCTTTCCATTCCCTAGATCAGGACAGCACACAAGCCTCAAATGCCTGACTCCCTCTGCACCTCACATTTTTATAGGGTTCCCATACATACAAAATTAAATTTGTCTTTCTCCTGTTACTGGTCTATGTCAATGTAATGATCAGACCAGACAAAGAACCTAGAAGGCAAGAGAACATTTTTCTGCCCCTGCAGTATCAACGCCAAGATGCTAGAATATCTGACAAGGATTCTAAAGCAGCCATCACAAAAATGCTTCAATAAGCAATTATGCACGTATCAAAAACTGAAAATGTACACCTCGGGGGGGAAAAAAAACCCAGAAGATTTAAAGAACCAAGCAGAAATCCTAGAACAGCCCTCCTAGCTCACAGCTCTGGCTCCACCACGGCTCCCAAGCAGCAGCTGGAGGAGAACCTGCTCCTTCAGGATCTCAGCGCAGCCTCTCCAAGTCCCCCGTCGCCTTCGGAGATGCCCCCATGGTGTCCGCACCCCATCTGGGTACACTGGCAAATAGCGCACTGGACCTACTCAGTCCGCCGCTGTGTACGGTGTGACGACCCTAGGAAGCACCTATGTGGTAGCCTTTACCTACAAAAATGTGAAATTTGTTCTCAAGCACAAAGTATCACAGAAGCGGGAAGGTGCTGTTTCCAAAGAAGTGACTCAAAAACTTTTTTGTCTCATAGGAAAAGAAAAGAATCTTGTAAAAGAAGAAGTGGCTGACCATGAGGCCACACTGTCCACCCCTGAAACAACACCCTATTCCTGGGCTCGGTCACTGCTGCAGCGCCCTCTGTACTGAAGAGCTCCACCCACAGAGCCTCCAGGTCCTTAGTGCCTCCAGGTCCCAGCGCCCTCCTGTCCTGGCCTCAGGCAGGCCCAGCCAGCTCCACTGCCTGCCTCTGCACCCGCGGGAGGCCTGTGGCGCGTGGAAAAGTAGCAGGGTGGACACACAAAGTGCTTTTATAGCCCGGAGTTTGAGAGTTCAAAAAACTCAACAAAATGTAGTTCAACATTTGTTTATTGGCTCTTTTTTGACAGACTGTTGAAATTAAATTAATTGAGAGGGAAACTAGAGAGTGCCAGGAGATTTATTAAAAAGCAGAAAGTGTCTCGCAATGTGCTATAACCACAAGAGGAGAAAATAACTTGTTTTGTTGATCTGTCAGAGGTCACAGTAACCTGAACTGTTATTATTCATAATAGTAGCAAGAACTTAATAACTGACTCTGTGTGTTCCAAGCACTCTACAGCTTTTTGCAAACCATAAATATCAGAATGAGCCCTTTTCCATCCCTCTTCCCTTCCTCCCCCGCCCCCGCCCCGAGGAGTTGAGGGGATTGAACTTCTTGTTTACAAGTGTCTGAATCTGTGGTTTAAAATAACTTACATTAAAAACATGGTTTCTCCAATTTGGGGAAGAGAAACTTTTAGGAAAGTTCTTTTTTTCTTTTTTTAACGAAAAAAGGCAGCCAACACCCGACCAGGCGTGGCTCAGGGGTTGAGCGTCCACCTAGGATCCAGGCAATAGGGGTTTGATTCCCGGTCAGGGCACATGCTGGGGTTGCGGGCTGCAGCCAATCAATGGCTCTCTCATCATTGATGTTTCTATCTCTTTATCCCTCTGAAATCTCTCTATCCCTCTGAAATGAATAAAGATTTTTTTTTTTTTTTTTTAAAAAAAAGGCAGCCAAGGTGATAACCTAAAAATAGTGCCCAGGCACATAGTTGTCCTGTGGGGTTAAAGCCACACTGTCCAGATGTACAGCTTTGGCCCCTGGTGGCCAGGAAGATCAATTCAACCTCCCATGTTGGTTTGAACTGTTAACAGACTGAAATTATGTTTTCTTAGAGCAGACTCTCATACCACTGGAGGACTGTTCAGTAAGGAGAACCTCTTCCCTGAATGTTGGCATGTAAAAGACCAAAGTAACCTCTGTGACCTTAGTTCCAGAATTCTAGAACACTGCAAGGAATTACAGTGACCTTAGTGCTTGTCACATTTTTCCATTAGTATTTCATAAATGTGACGCTTTAGTCCAAAGGTTTCCATCAATTCTGAATAAAATATTGATCTCTTTAGCCCCCGGAGGTCCAGCTAAGAGCAGTCTGCTGCCTTTTTTAACCAGCGTGTGTAGATATTATTTGAAGGAGTTTGGGAAGCTCTTCTGTTTTTAATCCTCACGCAGGGATGTGTTTTCCATTGCTTTTCAGAGTGGGAGAGCGAAACCTCGATGTGGGACAGACACATCAACTGGTTGCCTCCCGCACATGCCCCAGCCGGGCCAGGGATGGAGCCTGCAACCGAGGTTCATGTCCTTTGCTGGAATCCAACCCGGGGCCCTCAGTCTGAGGGCTGATGCTCTAACCACTGAGCCAGACTGGCCAGGTTGGGAAGCTCTTCTTGAACCTGTATCACTTTTTTTTTTTGAACCTAATCACTTTAAAGGTTATGAAATCCCAGATGATAGTGGTTTCATAGTCCTATTATCTTTTGACCATGGTCAGTTTCTTTTTTTTAATATGTCTTTATTGATTTCAGAGAGAGGAAGGGAAAGGGAGAGAGAGAGAAACATCCATGATGAGAGTCATTGATTAGCTGCCTCCTGCACGCCCCCTACTGGGGATGGAGCCCGCAACCCAGGCACCTGCCTGACCGGGAATCAAACCGCGATCGCCTGGATCCTAAGTTGATGCTCAACCGCTGAGCCACGCCAGCCAGGCAGACCATGGTCAGTTTCTTAAAAGCAGTACCTCAGAGGAAATACCATATTTCTAATTCCTAATCTTAAATTTAATCTTTAGTTTCCACTTCTAAATTTAAGATGCATGTTGCAGATAATACTTGCTGTTTTACTTACAGCTTGATAGAAAGGTAGTCATCAGGAGTTTATCTTTTACGTCCACGCTGTTAGATGTTTTGGTAGGCCACATCCAAGAACTCGGAAGGAGAGAGGAGAGGAGACATCGCATGGTGACCCAGGTCACCATCTTCAACTGAGGGTTATATTTCATCACTGCTTCTAGAAGTTTGCAATTCTTTACTTTTCTGTGGTGCATCATTATCCAAGTGACATCACTGGATAAAATGGAGTCAATGAGGAAGAGAGAAACACATAAAAGATTTATTTTTATGTTTTGACTTTTTTTTCTGTTGATAAATAACCAATCAGTAGTTTCACTAGTGGTATGGAGTGTATGTACCAAGCCCACTGGCTTACTTTACAAAATGACTATTTGACAAACAATCAGCATTTTTGTTGTTGTTGTTACCAGAGCCAGGCCAAGTGTATCTTTTTAAATTGCAGGTTGTTGTGGGTTTTTTATGTTTTTATTGACTTCAGAAAGAGGAAGGGGATCGAGAGGGAGGAAGGGGAGAGAGGGACTGGGGATCAAGCCCGAAACCCGGGCATGTGGCCTGACGGGGAATCAAACCCTGACCTCCTGCTTCATAGGTCAAAGCTCAACCACTGAGCCAGCGGGCTAAGCTGCAGGTTAAAAAATCGCCACTAGATGGCAGAGCCCGTATAGATGGGGGAAGAATTGCCGCTGTTCTTAGTGTAATACAATGTAGCGGAAATGGGGTGGTGAAAGCANGTTAAAAAATCGCCACTAGATGGCAGAGCCCGTATAGATGGGGGAAGAATTGCCGCTGTTCTTAGTGTAATACAATGTAGCGGAAATGGGGCACCAATTCAAAATTCTTCAAAGAATTTCACTTGAATTAATAAACTGAATAATTCATAAAAAAGCAAATAAATGTGTACCATAGTTCTATGTGGCTTCAGATTAAGTACCTATGAACAGGTTTGCAAGACATTTATTACACTTTTTACAAAAGGGAGTTACCGTTGTAGTACTTTTGTGTAAAACTTGTCTTCCCCCTTGCCCTAACTTTTTTTTTTTTTTTTTGCAAATAAATAAAGCTTGGTTCTTAAGGGAGGGGAAAAGCAAGTAAGCAAAATTTTATTTTGGTTTTGAAATTTTTTTACAACACTTTGTTTTTAATCCTGATAATGATCTCAGATTTCCTATACTGTTACATAAATCTCCGTGCCTAAGTTGATAAGGCATGCACTCACATTTCCAGTTTTCATTCAGGATACCCGTCCTCTACTCGGGAATTGCAGAACTCTCCCCCAGTGCTCCCCATCATCTACAATGGCCATGTGCCACACAGAATCATGATGGGTTGAATATCGTTTAGTTAGTAAAAATTTGCTGTAGAATATTTTTTCTCAAAAGACCCATTATCCTGCCCTAGCCGGTTTGGCTCAGTGGTTAGAGCGTTGGCCCGTGGACTGAAGGGTCAGGGGTTCAATTCTGTTCAAGGGTAAGTACATGGGTTGCAGGCTCAATCCCCGGCCCTGGTCAGGGCTCATGCTGGAGGCAACCAACCGATGTGTCTCTCACATCGATGTCTCTAAAAAGCAATGGAAAAAATAGCCTCGGGGGAGGATTAAAAAAAAGACCCCATATCCAACACCAGTAAGATAAAGGGTTCTGCTGGAATCAGGATTCAAAGTAATTAAATTCCTTTTTGTTTTTAAATACATCTTTATTGATTTCAGAGAGAGGGAAGGAGAGGGAGAGAGAGAGAGAAACATCAATGATGAGAGAGTCATTAATCGGCTGCCTCCTGAACGCCCCGGACTGGGGATCGAGCCCGCAACCTGGGCATGTGCCCTGACGGGGAATCGAACCCCGATCGCCTGGATCCTAGGTCCATGCTCAGCCGCTGAGCCACGCCCGGCCGGGCAAATTCCATTTTTTTAATTCCCTTGTAATAAGTAGAGGCTTAATGTGTTGGAACATTTTATATTTCCTTATTATTTTCAGTTTCCTATTTACAACTTAATAAAAATCTTGGAGAGAAAGTCTTTTTAGCCAGTAAAAATTTACTGATTGTCCTATTTGGTGTGTTATTCTAACTTGGAAAGTATAATTTGAAACAGGTTCTGATGTTAACTGAAATATGGAAGATGGATTCACAACTAAAATTTTTGTGAAAGTTCTTGCTTATTAAGTATTATTAAACTGCTTTTTAAAATTAAAAACGAGCCTGGCCGGGCGTGGCTCAGCAGTTAAGCGTTGACCTAGGATCCAGGCAATCAGGGTTCGATTCCCGGTCGGGGCACATGCCCGGGTTGCGGGCTGCAGTCAATCAATGACTCTCTCATCATTGATGTTTCTCTCTCTNCCTGTCTCTTATACACATCTAGATGTGTATAAGAGACAGATCAATGACTCTCTCATCATTGATGTTTCTCTCTCTCTCTCCCTCTCCTTTCCTCTCTCTGAAATCAATCAAGATATATTTTTAAAAATAATGAAAATAAAATAAAATTAAAAATTAAAATTAAAACCGAGCCCAGCTGGGCGTGGCTCAGCGGTTGAGCGTCGGCCTAGGATCCAGGCGATCGGGGTTCGATTCCCGGTCAGGGCACATGCCCGGGTTGAGCAGGCTCGATCAATGACTCTCTCATCATTGATGTTTCTCTCTCTCCCTCTCCTTTCCTCTCTCTGAAATCAATAAAGATATATTAAAAAAAAAAAACACCTCAAAATAAACCGTATACCTATATGTAAAATGTCAAAGTGTAAAACTTTTAAGAGAAAACACAGGTGAAAATCTTCAAGACCTACTGTTGTGCAAAGAATTCTAAGATATAACACCAAAAGCAAGATCCATAAAATAAAAAGTTGAAAAACATCATCCAAAATTAAAAACTTCTGCTCTAAAACTCAACTGGAATGAAATAAGCCAATTTTTAAAGTGTGCAAAACACTTAACCAGATACTTTACGAAGGGATATAGGATGACAAATAAGCTCATGAAAGATAATCATTAGCCATTAGTGAAATGTAAATTAAAGCCATGAAAAAACATTGCTGCCCTGGCCGGTGTGGTTCCGTTGGTTGGAGCATCACCACCCCACACACCAAAAGGTAGAGGTTTAATTCTGTCAGGGCACACACCCAGGCTGCAGGTTCGATCCCCAGTCAGAATGCATGCGTGAGGCAACTTATCTTTGTTTCATTCTCACATCAATGTTTCTCTCTCTCTCCCCCTCTCTTCCACTAATATCAAATATTTATAGCCCGGCCGGTGTGGCTCAGCAGTTGAGCAGCCACCTATGATCCAGGAGATCTCCGTTCGATTCCCAGTCAGGGCACATGCCCAGGTTGCAGGCTCGATCCCCAGTTGGGTGTGTGCAGGGGGCAACCAATCAATGACTCTCTCATCATTGATGTTTCTCTCTCTCTCCCTTCTTCTCTCTGAAATCAACACCCCTATAGAATGGATAAAATAAATTTTTAAAATATTTTAAATTGACCGTATCAGTGCTAAGGAAGATGTAAAGCAACAGAAACCCTCATACCTTGCTAATGGAATGCAAAATGATACAGACATTCTGGAAAAGTTCAAAGTTATATAAAGTTAAATTACACACTATATAATCTAGCAATCCCCCTGGGGTTAAGGAGTCAAACGGGTACAACTGTTGGGAAAGTGTCCTTATGTGATGAAGATGAATGTGGACAAATCTTATGACCCCAGGATTCATCATAGGTACAGACCCTAAAGGAAGGCACATGTGCCCCAGAAGACAAGTGCTGGCTCAAAGCACCACTGTCTATAATACCCCAAACAAAATAATCTACACACCATTTAACAGGACAGTGGAGAAATCAGATGCTGCCTGTTTATTAAACTTATTACATAGTGTAAAATAGTGAAAATTACTTTGGCTTTGTGCTTGGTCTTGGAATCATCCTGTGAAATCAACAGACAAAGTGCATTAACAAAAGAAAGGCACTGAAGAAAACATAGTATGTAAACAATTTATACAGAATCCAAGGACATACATTTTTCTAGGATGGATTTTAGTCAAATTATAAAGGAAAGCAAGCAACTGACAAGCATAAAATTTAAGACTGATTGGGAGAGGGTGCTATGATGAGTTGGACTTTACAGAAAATATACCCCTTTATAGAGTTTAAGATTAGTGGTGCCCAGCCGGGCGTGGCTCAGCGGTTGAGCGTCGACCTAGGGTCCAGGCAATCGGTGTTCCCGGTCAGGGCACAGGCTGCAGCCGATCAATGACTCTTATCATTGATGTTTCTGTCTGTCTCCCTCTCCTTTCCTCTCTCTGAAATCAATAAAGATATATTTTTTTAAAAAAAGATTAGTGGTGAATGCACCCTGGCCTGTGTGGCTGCATTGGCTGGGCGTCATCCTGTGCACCAAAGGTTGCTGGTCTGATTCCTGGTTAGGGAACATGCCTAGGTTGCAGGTGTGATCCCTGGTTGGGGTGCGCATGCAGGGGGCAGCCGATCAATGTTTCTCTCTCCCTCTCTCTTCCTCTCTCTCTCAAATCAATTTTTAAAAGAGTGGGTAAAATGGTCATAAAATAGAAAAGAGAAATTTCCAGGACTCCTTGACACGGAAATTCCTGAAATATGGTAAAAAAAAAAAAAAAAGTGAAGGCCTGACTCAGGCTACAAATGGATTTAGGAAAGTTGGAATGTTTAAATAAGCTTTATGTTAGGGCTAAATCAACTTTAATGGACTGTATCTCTTTTACCTGAATGTATAATGGAAATAGACATGTGTCTCTTGGGGAACTGGGACATAAAGACCATCAGTTCTTTCTTTTGGCTGTTAGAGGAAAAGACTCTAGAAGGTCTGAACCCTCCTGGGTCCGTGGAATTGTTTAATAATGCCATAAATATGTAATGTTTGTCCCAACTCAAAGCTGACAAGATATTTGAAGAAGCCCTGGCCAGGGAACTCAGCTGGTTAGAGCATCCTCCCGATATGCCAAGGTTGCAGGTCTGACGCCCAGTCAGGGCACAGGCAAGAATCAACCGGAGACAAGAGGACGGGAGCGGGAGAGAGAGACAGAAACATCAATGATGAGAGAGTCGTTGACCGGCTGCCTCCTGCACGCTCCCCACTGGGGATGGAGCCCGCAGCCCGGGCATGTGCCCTGACCAGGAATCGAACCTCCATCTCCCGGGTCAGAGGTCGATGCTCAACCGCTGAGCCACGCCGGGCCAGGCTGATAACTTTTT